TTCACTAGCATTTAATATGTGTGGTTATGGGCTCAAGAAGGTTATGCTTATTTTGTTTCTATGAGACTTCAACCTAAAGTAAACAATTTTGATGAAGTCAAAACCTTCCACTGAAGGTTAAGGAAGGGTAAGTAAAAAGTTGAGTTAGAGAAAGAAATTCCTATATATAAATAGTATTATTTGTTTATTCATTTATTTATTTTGCCAATATACATTTGACTAATATTCCATGCCAGTGCATGGGCTCCAACTAAATAAATGCAAAAATATAATAATAGTAATAATTTGTTCTCTCTAACTGGTGATGTTTTGTTTTAAAATGGAAGGGTGTATAAAACCCCAGGTTTTCCTTAGGATTTTAAAATTCAAATACATCCTCCAATTTCTCATTCATGTTTCCAATTTCATACTTAGAATCTAGGTTTTCCATTTTCACAATGTAATGATTTTGCATGGGAGCGACCTTTGCGGTGGGTGAGAGACAAACCACAGTGGGTGATGCCATGCAGACAGAGCTTAGGTGAGGAGTTTATTGAGAGAAGGGGAAGCGGGAGAGAGAGAGAGAGAGAGAGAGAGAGAGAGAGAGAGAAAAGAAAGACAGAAACAGAGACAGAGAGAGACAGACAGACAAAGAAACAGAGACAGAGAGAGAGATAGAAGAGAGAGAAACAGAGACAGAGAGACAGAAAGAGACAGAGACAGAGAGAGAGAGAGAGGTAGGGACCTACTTGCCTCTTCAGAAGAACAGTAAAGAGAACAGGAATGGGTGGAACTTGTTTTTTTTTGTTTGGTTGTTTGGTTGTTTGGTTGGTTGGTTGGTTGGTTGGTTGGTTGGTTGGTTGGTTGGTTGGTTTGGTTGGTTTGGTTTTGCAAGACAGGGTTTCTCTGTAGTTTTGGTGCCTGTCCTGGAACTAGCTCTTGTAGACCATGCTGGCTTTGAACTCACAGATGTCTGTCTGTCTTTACCTCCCCAGTGCTGGGATTGAAGGCAGGAGCCACCACCGCCCGACTGGAGCTTGTCTTTTTCTTTCTTTCTTTCTTTTTTTTTTTCAAGACAGGGTTTCACTGTAGTTTTAGAGCCTGTCCGGGAACTAGCTCTTGTACACCAGCCTGGCCTCAAACTCACAGAGATACGCTTGCCTCTGCCTCAAGGGGCCTTTTTCTACCTGCATACAGATTAGTGACATAGCAGCTATAGGACGCTGGACTGGCCAAAGTACTGCCTGAGTGTGTCCTGCCAGGTGGCAAAGGCCAGCATAATGCCTGAATACCAGCATTCATAATCCTAACATACATAACAGTGTAGGCAGTTCCTGGTTCTGTGTTTGGCTTTTGATTCATTTTCATGAAGAAATGGAGATAAAACTACTGTGTATGTATTAAGGCCCACTTTACATTATGAACTTCAGGAAAAATAGTTGCTGAGGGTCTTGTACTTTCAGAATCTGCTTCATGAGTGTGAGACAGTGTGTAACTTTGGAAAGTTAGTGATATGAAAAATATGATTTTACATATCAAAAAATTTCTCTCAGTAAAATATACTTCTCAATGAGTCACACGAATCAACTTCTTGTGAATATTGTCATCTCCTCAATAAAGTATTAATTTACTCAAATTAGAAACAGTTTCTATCTGCTGGTTCTTCCTGAAGATGAAGCAAACTAAGCAGCTGATCAACATTGCAAACGACTGACATTTTACATATAGCGCATTCCAGAGCATTGGTGTTCCACAGACTGGCCACCTTAGCCTCGCAATAGGGTTCTTCCATTTGTCAAGATTTTCACAGGAGAACCAAACTGGTACCTAAGACAAGGATGTGCTCTAGAGTTTTGCAGGAAAACCAAGGCATAATTTTATTCTTGGTTAGTACTGCCCAGAGTCAAGAGCAGTGTTCTGCTCTAGAGAGTAAGAGAGAAAAAGAGAGCAAACATTCCCTGCTCCAATGTCCACTCTGCTCAGACCTTTAAACTGGATGGGTGATGACTGCCTACAGAGGAGAATTCAATCTTCATTACTTATCTCAAGTGTTAATTTGAGATATGTATCTCAACCACACATAACCTTACAGACTCACATAGTGTGTCGCATAATCAAATTATGTGAACACTCTACCCTAGTCAAGTTGTCATGAAATTAATCCTCACAGCCCTCACTTTTATGTATTTTAACAAATGATCGCATCTTTCCCAGAAACATTCCTTCCTTTGGACATCTATGGCAAACAAAGATTATGACAATCAAACATGACAAGACACACCAAGGAAAGGAAAACAAATGGTCAAAAAACCACATTCATGTAACAGAGCATAAGTCTGGGAACATCTACATTTTAGATAAGCAAGTAGATTTTAGAGGATTGTCCAGAAAATGCACTTCAAGTAAAAAGATATGTTGGATGAACATAGTTGGATCTCATACTTCAAACTGTGCTATTGCTTTTGGTACCTCTCTCAGCTGCTTTTGTGCTCTGACCCCAGAGCTTGAAACCTTCATTGCCATATCAAAGCTCTTGACAGAGTCCCAAAGATCCATCAGCAGAAAATAGATCATGTAATCTTTCTTCATAAAATAGTGTTTCTATGTTTTAATTATTAGAAATGTAAACACAAAAGGAAAAACAATAAGAACGTGGCAATCTTAAATAAAAATATATTTCAAGGACTGGAGAAATGGCTCAGTGGTTAAGAGCACTTGTTGCTCTTACAGAGTATCTGGGCTCAGTTCCCATAGGGACTTGCAACCACCTTTAATTTCAGTTCCAGGGCTCTGACCCCTTTTCTGGCCTCTGTGAACAACAACAACAAAAAATCACACATGGTACACATACATACATGCAGGCAAAAAAAGTTCACACACATTTTAAAAAATGTTATCCCAAGAAGTAATTCTGAGGATATTCTAAATGCTGAATGTATATGAGTGTCATAGCACTTTCTTCCAATAGATGAGCAAAATGTGGCACAGCTTTCTTGGCAAAAGTTAAGCAGTATACATTTTTCTAAGTCATTATATATATATATATATATATATATATATGATCAACTTGGAATAAATTAAAAATTATATACAAATTAACACTCTAAGAAAATTCTATGTTCCATAAGAAAATTAATGAGTTATTTGAGAACTCCAAAGTGTTGAAATTTTGCAATTCATTTTTATTATGACAAGATTATATTCCAGGCTGTGATAGCAAAGTCCATTTTTGAAATTAATACTTTAATTCTAATTTGATATTAATTTTTTTTGAGACAGGGCTTCTCTCTGTAACAGCCCTAGCTGTTCTGGAACAAGCTATGTAAACCAGGCTGGCCTCAAACTCAGATATCCACCTCTTGAGTGCTGGGATTAAAGGTGTGCACCACCACTGTCCAACTCAAGATTAATTTCTAATTTTTTTATTATAATATCTTATTACTTCATTGATAATTTCATACATACATACAATGTAATTGTGGCCACCTTCCAGCTCCACCTCTCCTACCTCTCCTCCCATCTTTATGTTACTACCCACCATTTTTTGATAACCCAACAAGTCCAATTTGTGCTACCATATACTCATGGGTATAGGGTCATTCTCCAGAGCATAGTTGATCCACCAGAATCCACAACCTTAAAGAACTGACTCTCCCTCCCCAAAAGCCATCGAGCTCTCAGGAGCTCTTTCCTCCCCTGTGCTGGAATGCTGCCTGGCTTGTTCTTGGGTAGGCAAGCACAGCCCCTGTGAGTTAAAGAGTGCAGCTGGTCCTGTCACATCTAGAAGACGCTCTTTTGCTCTGGTCCTCCCTGACTCTGGCTCTTAAAAATCTTTCTACCTCCTCTTCCTTGATGTTCGTTGAGCCTGGAGGGAGAGGAAAGTGGCTCTCTGTGCTCTGACCCATTGTGAGTTTCTGTGGTATATATCCGCTGCACTGAAAACCACTCTGATGAGATCTAAGCGTTTCATTAATAGATGGATGAGAGACACAGACGTAGAAAGCAGGTTGATATGATGTCCATTCAGTAAAGTAATGGTGGTAGGTTCATCCTCAAGCATATGACCTTCCCAACCATGTGTTCTTTGAACAGTACTAATAATGAACCTCCTCCAGTGGAGCTGACAGTAAATTGGTTACTGTTCTGTTACTATTGCACCCACGGGCATAACATCCATGGATAACATCCATGCTGATCATTATTTTAGCTCTATGAGTTCACAGCTGAGTAAGATTGTTGACGACTTTTCTCTCTAGCAGTCTACATATCATTTTCAAATACTGTGAAAGCCAGTCGGCAGGAAAAAAGCTTCCTAGCTCATGCCAATTTGATTTCTCCATGTCCTAGGACAATATCGTGTAGGAAGAGAGATAGCCATAGGGAAACCTACTATTATATTATATATATATATATATATATATATATATATATATATATATAAAGTTTAATTGGAGTTAGTCTACACAGGGGATAATGCTCCTCCCCAAAGCCATAGGTCACCAAAAAAGTCCAGGGCCATGTATGTGTTACTTCTAGAGTTGTTGGTCAGGGGTTTCCTGCAAACCCCCCAAATAATATAGGGTATTGCCATTGCTCTTAGTTGCCCACCAGCTAAGATATATATAATGAATATTATATAATATAAATTAAAAGCTTATATAAATTAAAGTGGTATTAAAGTCCCTAAAGAATGTTTTTGCCTATGGTAATGATGACTACAATGTAGCTTACTACAAATAAGATGGCTTAACACAAGCATATAAAACATCTAGTTAATGTTCTTGGTTCCAGGTGTATCTCATAAAGCAATATGAGTTTTACTTTGAATCATGGGGATTTTGAGTTCTTTACATCACTTTACTGTTTTTAAAAAAAAATGTACTAAAGCAGGGGTAAATTGACATACTTGCATACTTGGGTTAAATACTTGAAATCTGCACATTTGATATTCTGAAAAAAAATATACGATGCCCAAATGCAGTGTTGCCCCATAACTTTGTTTTTTTTTTTATCCAATCCAGCCCTAATGTATGCAAGCATTTTTGGGAATGTTTCTGCAATTATTCAAAGACTGTACTCGGGGACCGCCAGGTACCACATGCAGATGCTGAGAGTGAAAGAGTTCATTCGCTTCCACCAAATCCCCAACCCCCTGCGGCAACGGCTTGAAGAATATTTCCAGCACGCATGGACTTACACCAACGGCATTGACATGAACATGGTATGTACTTCTGTTTCCCAAAACAGAAGCTCAACAGGCATTACAGCTATAGCTAAATGAAAGGCCAGTCTCACCAGCTTTGAGCCCCGTGCTTTTGTTTCCTTCTCTTGGATGTTTATTTTTCTCCCCTGGAGATAGTGTCTCATTCTCAATTCATGGCATTGCATGGTGCTATATCTAGTTATACTGTGTGGCAAAGGCATTATAACGTGATGCAAACTGATATAACTATGTGTCATAGAGTTCCCATCTCCAATTAAAGGAAACCTTGGTCTTAGCTAAAACTCAGGCCTTCGTGGTATGGCCTGGTTACAAATGAGCAAATAACAACAAGAAAAGTTGCTGAGTCTATGCTCAATTAAGATTCCAAAAACCAACTGTGACAATTGGATGAGCCTAAACAGCGATCCAAGATGAACATACTTTTGGAGTAGGACATCTTGAATATTTGTAGGAAAGTTTAGAGACCTTAAGTATGTCAGAAAGCATTTTCTGATAGGAAGTTTCATACTTCCTTTAACAATTAATTATATTCCATTTCAATATATTTACTTGGTTTAATGACTCTCTCTGCTCAAGGAGGGGACAAGCATTCCTTAACACCTTTTAAATACTTGATTTTTTTTTTAAAAAAAATACACTTTTCAGAAGCATCTCAATCACTGCATAGAAGTCTAGTTAAGATGAATGGGTTCTGAAGAGCTCTTTTTGGGATTAAGAGCATCGCTTATATTATTTACTTTGCTGTTTGGCTTTAGACATTTAATGCTACAGATAAATTATACAACAAAGCCAAACCCCACTGCTTAGTACAGAGCTATAGAAAAAAAAAAACACAGCACGTCCTCACATCACTACCCTGTTCTGAAAATAAATTATCCATGTTTGATTCCATCAATTACATGATGCCATTTTTGTGTGAGTGTATATGGACAATTTAGATGGCTATTTACCATTTGAATCAAAATCGGAAATCACGGAGAAAGCCATAGAGCACTTGCTGCCAACTCAAAGACACATTTATATGTCGACAAATTTATCATAGCTGCATGCGATTTATTTGCTGAGAAATACCATCATATTATAAAATTTTTAATTTGAAGAAATACACGAGCTCCTTAGAGCCGAAAAAATGTAGCTCAAGCCGATGAGCTGCGATTTTCAGGTGTCCCAAAGTTCACGGTGAAAAAGCCACTTATTAAATTAATCTCTTCTGAGGTGGTTTTTAATCTAGCAAGAAAGAGCACCTGTATATATTGGTTGCTTTTATAAATTGTTACTGTGCTTGTTTAACAAAGATACCAGCATTCAAAACCGCTGAGGAATCTCTAGTGCCGGGCTTGCTTAAGCAGTGTCAAGTATTTTTAATTAAAATATGCGTCACTCAATTTTATTGTTTCATACTGCCAGGGTATTTCAATAACAGTAATAAAACAGCCATTTATTTATGTCCCTTCTCCATAAAACTTAGATTTATAACCATTTTTATGATAAAATATTTTGTGACAACTATTTACCTATCATTGTTTGACTCTATTACCTATAAATATGGTTTCTATACCACTTGCCTATTTACAATGTACTTATGAAAGATTTATCTCTTTCCTGCCTGCTTCACACCTTAACACATGGAATCACAACACCCACCGGTAAGAACAGGAGGTATTTATATCCAATTTAATTCTCGTGTAAATTGTGGAGAATACCCTTGTTATCTGTCAGGTTTAGAGCTTGTTAAATGATTTCCAGGGTTAGTTCTGATCTTTTTTTGCATGATATAACAGAGGAAATAGAGAGCAAGAAGCTGGGGAAGATAACATGGATGAGGCCAAGTACAGAATAGCAATTCTCCATTTCAGTAACAACTTGACCTCCAATAACGTTGATGTACAATTTCCTACGCCCCACAAAAATCCACTTCTCTGCCCCCATTCCCAAGCTGGTAGAGGTTATGGGTATACGGTTTGCATTAGATAACTGTCATAAAGAAAATGTCATTCTCTTTCATCATCCTCTCTTCATGATGTAGGTGCTTTTCTCTCCTCTCATCTGCATGCCAGTTTTACATGATCCTGGAGCGTGTGAGCTCTAAGCCATGTGCCGCTGAGACTTGCATGTGGTTTTGAAAACTTGACTTTGCACGAACTCCTTGTTTGTACATGGTGTCTACATTTTCATTTTGTGACTGCAAAGTGAGTAAAAAAGAAAAAAAAAACTCAGTATAAGATAACTCCGCACAGAGCAAATGGAAGATTTTGCTATAAGTATGATGTGTAAAACAACGTTGATTAGAGAAAAGCAACTGTACTATGAGACTGCCAAAAACACATTGTTAATGATTATTGTGTCTTGTCAAGTTATTGTTGATAAAATTATAATTTTAAAACAATTTAAAATTAGCTAGTTTATGTACTGTGATACATAAAACTACATCAAACTGTTGTATTTTGCATCTACATTCCATATTATTTTATTTAAGTATAAACTTAAATATAATTTCTCATGAAGCATTTCAGGCCATTTTTTACTGTTCAATCATCTTCAAATGAAGTAAAGGTTTCCAAACACACAGTAAATTCACTTAAAATTATTTCACAATCCAAGACATTTGATTGCTTAGGAGACCACCAAAACATTGAAATAATTGACCTAAAAAAAAAAGTGGGGCCATATCCCTTACTCCTTCTGTTTTTTACTTTTCATATATACTGCTGCCAGTATGTTCCAGAATAAAAAACAATTATGGATTCCCTTTTACTTGAACCAAATAGGCTAAAGAAAAAAAGGAAAGGGTCAAACCAACAAAGGTAGTGAACGGAATGTGTTTTTCAGGGTCTGGCTTCAGTTTTAGCACTGTATAATTGTCTCAAGCATGTGCACAGATTAATCCTGAAAAATTCATGCAGAAAACGGACTGATTGATAATAAAGAGATGTGTTCTCAAGGTAGAGCTAGCAGCATTTCAAGGAATTTCTGCAAATCAAAGCCATCTCTTAACCGAACCAGAAACTTTCTGAAGTTAGCCAACATTATTTTAGTTTGACTGACAACAAGAAAATAAAAACTGTTTTCCATCTAAATGTAGAATTCAAGCAGACTAATACCAGACTATGAGCTAGGCTTGATACTTGATGGTCCAAATGTCCCTTATCATGACAGGAAGTAATCTCTATAATTTAATATTGGCTTGGAAGAAAATCACGTGTGCACACTTAGTGGACTTTTGCTTTGCCTAAAATTTCTGTTGTGACAACAACCAAGTAATCGGTGAGAAACAGGAAAAAGTCAAGAGACCTGGGCACTTGTCCTCAGCATGCCACCGTCTTGAGCAAGTCACTTATACTTTCTACAGTTCCAATAAACTCACCACGTATAAGCATGTGAAGGCACCGGTACTCAAATACAGTGTGTACATGATAGCCTATCAGCTGCCACTTCCTCCACTCCCTGTAAGGAGCATCCAAGCCTTCCTCGTGGAGCATCTTGCAATGGATGTAGTGCAAAAACCACTCAACTATGTCGCTATTAGAATTGCTGATTGTAGAGAAAAAAGGTAACGAGCAGGAAACATAAGCAAGAGAGCAAGTCATACATGCACACGCACACACACACAGTGAATTAGGTAGTCCGGGCACATTTTTATTTAGTTGGTTTTCGGAAGAACATGGTTGGGGAAATGGACTTTTTATTAGGACTGTTCAATGAAGGCAGTTTTGAGAGATGCGAATAGAAAGTATCCGGACTAATGGACTAGATGATAAGATTCTCCAGAAAGGTGAACAGATAAAAAATCACTTAGAACACAGTGATTATGTGTTGAGAATAGTGTGGTGTGCTGTCTTTCAGGAAAAAGAGAGAAAGTATGGTATTACATGATCTAACCAGACTCTCCATGAACGGTGAGGTGGGTGATGATATGGGAGGGGTAGAGCTGTAGGAGCGGAGTCTTGGAAGATTTCAGTGAAGTCATCCTAGCAGGCTAAAAGTCTTTTCAAGCCCAGTGACATTCTGCATGACACAGCATGTTTCTTAAAGGAGTCAGCACATAAAACCAAAGGAGAAGTAAAGCTGATAAATGGCAGATTAGTCAACAGAGATCATAATTTCTTGGGGCTGGTGGGATTTCTAAGGAATATTTTAGTCATATTGTGTTTTCCTTATTTTCACATTACTTCTAGTTTCTCAACTCCCTGGCAGAAATGCCTCCAGTGCTAGCATTGGAGTCACGGCTGCATTCGTGGTCTAATTGTACTCAATGAAAGTCTCATGTTAGGAATAGGAAGACAGCTCACTCTGCCTCAAAAGCATGAAGATTTGAGTTCAATCCCCACAACTCATTCAGAATTTTTATTCAGAGAAATAAAAATAATGTAGTAGCTCTTACTTAAGACTCCACCCCCAGGAAGACAGACAAGGCAGAGCTCCAAGACTCTCAGGTCCACCAGCCCAGCCTACTAGGTATAGTCAAGGCTAATTAGAGACTTTGTATCAGTGTTTTTTTAAAAAGAAGAAGAAGAAGAAGAAGGAGAAGGAGAAGAAGAAGAAGAAGAAGAAGAAGAAGAAGAAGAAGAAGAAGAAGAAGGAAAGAAAGGTGGACAGTAGCTGCTGACTTCTGGCCTCCAAAAGCATGGGTACACACGTGCCTTTGGGTACGCACACACACAGATACATTGAGGGAAAGCCATTACTCTGTACACTTATTTACATAATTTCCTATGTACTCCACTTTCGTGTTCAGATCGCAGCTTTTGACACATCACAGCGAAGTGCTAAGGTGGAGGGGACCCACACTTGTTTGTACTCAATGAATGAAATCAGATAAGAACAATCCTTACGATAAACCCAGTCACCAGTGTAGAGGGAAAACTTAAAAATGGTGTAGCATGCTTTTAGATCTTTTAATCCTCTACCTTTTCTAAAAAAAAAAAAAAAAAAAAAAAAAAAAAAAAAAAAAAAAAAAAAAAAAAACTTTTATTTATAAACAGAGTCAATGAGCAACA